AGCCATTGTGGCTTACTTACGTATATTCAATACATATGTATATATATATATACATGCGATCTTGGTGGCTTACAATTATATATATATATATATATTGCATAGATGTAAAGAAATATACCGGGTATATAATATTATTATGCTATGGCGATAATGCATATTATTCTCTTAAACCCCCCAAAACTCTCAAAGAAGTAAAACCCCCCAAAGGAAGGCCTTGAGGAAAGCTCCCGCCAAGACGCTGCGCTCCTGCATCTTCGCGAAAAGGCACAAGGACCGCTCCCACCTGGAATTTCTCTACGGATTAGGGTTTAGGGTTTAGGGTTTAGGGTCCCTAAACCCTAAACCCCAAATTCCTTGAAGGGTTCCTTTATGGGGTCCTTCATGGGATCCTGTAAGGGAACCAGGTGCACGCGTGTAGTATAGGGGGCCTCGATAGCAAGGGAGTTGGGCTTTTGAGGTAGATTAAACACCCCTAAACCCCTAACCCAGGGTTTGGGGTTCGAAGTCCTAAATCCCGAACCCTAAACCCTAAACCCGAAACCTTAAACCTCAAACCCTGAACCCTAAACCCTAAATGAGGGGCTTCCCAGTGCAGCCAGAGCGACTCACTTTCCGCACAGGCGCTGATTGCCGAGCTTATGGCTGCGACATCCGGGGGAAGCCGACATCCTGGCTGTAACTGAAGGGTCTAAGGTTTAGGGTTTAGGGTTTAGGGTGTGGGGTTTCGGGTTTAGGGTGTAGGGTTTCGGGTTTAGGGACTCTAACTCTCAGCAAAAACGAATCAGGGAGGGTTTAGGAACGCATGGCAAACCCTACCCTCGGTGCTCAATCGGCCCATGAAAACGTGCCTTGCATCTCCTCCAGCAAGCCCAACGCCTGTTTAGGCAGGTTTTTGAGTGCTTAAGGCCTTAGGGACCCTACACCCTCTCTATCATTATTACTTTCAACCTTAATCAAACTCGTGGGCGAGGGGGGAAATTCGTGGGCAAGATCTAAAATTAAAAGTCCGGAAATTCGTGGGCGAGGCCAGACATTCGTGGGCAAGGTCCGAACGTCCTTGCCCACAAATTTCCGGACTTTTCGGAGCGTGCCCACGAATTTCAGGCCAAAAGCCTCTTGCCCACGAATTTCGGGACTTTTGGGTCCGAATCCAAAATGATAGTGGGAATCCTAAAATAGTAGTCCGAACCCTGAAACAATTGTCGAAATCCTAAAGCAATAGTCCGAATCCTAAAAGACGATTGGTCCGAACCCTAAAATAATAGTCCGAACCCTGGAATAGTAGTTCGAATCCTAAAATAGTAGTCCGCCCTTAAATAATATTCCAAAATAATAATCCGAAGCGCAAAATAGTAGTTCGAATCCCAAAATAGTACGTGGTCCGAATTCCAAAATAATAGTCTGAACCCTAAAATGATAATCGAACCCACAACAATAGTGCGAATCCTAAAGTAATAGTCCGAACCCTAAATAAAGAAGTGGCTCCTTTTCATTTAAAGCACCGTTTGGGCTTCGGTGAGGGCTTCGTTCTTCGCTTAGGGTTCCTTTTAGGACTCCGTTTAGGGTTCCGGTTAAAGTTCGTTTAGGGTTGTGGATTTCGCTGGGACTGTAAACTTTGTATATTTCTTAGAAGATGTTTTGGAATTCTCTGCGAGGGTGGGTCTTCACCATTAGCTCCAAAGAGCAAGCTCGTCGATCCGGAGCTGCTGAACCCTAAACCCCAAAAAACCTTTTCAAAAGGATTCGGGTGTGATTTCGAGTTGAGGGTTCCAGGGCTCAAACGGTAAACCTGCCTATACAGTAATACAGTTAAAACTGCCGGGTCCGAAAGGTCAAGCGTTTATAGGGCTTAGGGCTTATAGGGTTTAGGGTTTGGGGTTTGGGGGATAATTTGTGGGGAAGTCTGGCTTCGCAGGGTCTGGGGGTCCGGAATGGTGCAAGTCTAGAATGGGGGGCTGCAGTTCGGGACATCGTGCTTGGGGCTTAAGGGGCTTAACGGCTTCATGTTTCTTTTCTAGAAAAGGCAACCGTCACCGTCATATACTCTGGGCTCTAGCGCAAACACATCGCCACCTGGCACAGGATTCGATTCTCAGTGCTCGCTTGATGCAAGATTCCTCTACAAGATCCCGGAACCTGAAACCCCAGAGACTAACCTCCCATCCCTTGAACCCTAAACCCTGAACCCC